CCCAACCCCCCTGATGGACTCTGCTCTGTGCATGACAGGGGGCGGCGCCCCAACTCCCCAATCAGCCCTGCTCTGAGCCCGACCAGGGGCTGCACCTAGGGATTGGGCCTGCCCTCTGCCATCCAGGAGCGGGCCTAAGCCAGCACGTCGTTATCTCCCGAGGGGTCCCAGACTGCGAGAGGGCACAGGCTGGGCTGAGCGACCCCTTCTCCCCCCTGAGTGCACAAATTTTAGTCATAATAATAAAAGGCTAATATGCAAATGGCGGTCATGCCGTGACACGTAACAACCAATCAACAGGGACCTGAGGCTGCATGGCGCCTGGCCGGAGCGGGGAACCTCAGGCCGAGCCCCCCACCCAGCAGGGCTTGACAAGGGTGGGCCGGTTGGGTCTGGATCTCACCCAGTGGGGGTGGGGCCAGCCGGGTCTGGATCTCCTACGATTTCGAAGCGCATGCAAGTGGGCGGGGACTTGACTCTGGGTCCCATGGCGCACCCCAGGCTCTGACAAGAGGGAGATTTTCACATTTTACTAATTTTCTTTCATCTCTGACACTTTTATTATAGAGAAAGGGCAAATAGCAATATTAAAATATTTCCTCTAATTCCCTTTTAATGTGTACGAATTTTGTGCACCAGGCCACTGATATGTCTATAAAAGGCAATAAATGCAGAATTGCATTACAGTAAAATCTCAGTATAACGGGCTAATTCAGGGAAAAGGGGTGTCTGTTAAACCCAAAATGGACATTGTATAATAAAGTAGGTTTTCTGAATGCGTATGTTAAAAAATTGACAGTTTAGTTCATTTACCTGTTTTTATTCATGTAGACACATTTTTGTAATTACAATTAAGTATGTATGAAGTTTAGTTTCACAGGAAAGTTTTCTACATGTATTTCAGTAATTTTAAATTTATACTGAATAGGTTTAGTAAATGTGTGCATTCACCCGTCACTAGGAGTAAACAAATACACACAGCTGGTGCGTGGCTTAGCATATGTGTCAGAACTTTGGGCCAGCTGGAGTTAAAACTGTTGCAGAAAGTCAGGCCACTGGACTACAGACTCATTACCATGTGTGATGCAGTGTGATCACATGCTAATCATTCGCCAAACATTATTTACAAGTGGTGACTCTGGGGTTTAAATATGTACACTAGAGTTATAGCTATGTAATATTTATTTATGTTGGAGAAATTACTAGTTTTTTTCCCAACATATGTCCTATTCACTAAAATTTGTTAAAAATAGCAATGAATTAATAACAAAACCTGTTAATTATAAACAAATCTTAGTTAAAAGCATTTTAAAATTAACAGGGTGTTGATTTTCACATATGACATTTAATCTGGAAATTTTGTCTGTTAAATCCTAAATCCATTAAATTGAGGTCTGCAAAACTGAGGATTTACTGTAGGTGAATTACAGATTTTAAATGTTTCCTGTGTCATATATAAAACCTTTCTGGGCTCAGCTTTCAGATGAGATCATTTGGCTCTGCTATTGTAAAATGCAGTAGGCAGAGGCAGAAGAAGGTAAAGTTGTGTGACCATATATACAAGAGTGGTTCCATCTATATATATAAAACCCTAATATGCAAATAGACCGAACAGTGGAACAGCTGAACAACTGGTTGCAATGACGTGTGCTAACCACCAGGGGGCACGTGCAGGACATGACAGGCATCAGCCGCGGCAGGATGGTGGAGCAGGTGAGCAGGGGTGCCAGACCAAGGCAGGGCACCGGTCGTGGTCATCAGGGTGAGCCTCTGGTGGTTACTGAAAATTCTTGGCTCCCGCATGCTGTGACCCCACCTGGTGCTCACACCTGCTGCTGACGCTGGAGCCGCTGCCCGCACCCACTGCTGGCACCTGGCACCGGTCCCGATCACTTGGTGCCATCAGTGGGTGCGAATGGTGGCAGCCAGCTCCGATCTCCCCTGAGGGCTTCTTCACCTCTTCCTGCTCCTGAGGGGCAATCAGGGTACCAGCCACCACTGGCACCTGATGCCGGTGCTGGCCCCAATCACTCCACGCCATCAGCGTGTGGGAGCAGCAGTGGAAGCGGGGCTGTTGGCAGACAGGGGACAGGGGACTACAGCAGGAGGGGCTGGGCAGGGACGCGGACGATGGGCCGAGACCCACCCCTGTGCCTACCTCAGCCTCACGGCCCACAGTTCCTTTCAAGGTGCACAAATTTGTGCATTGGGCCCCTAGTCTATAATAATAAAAGCATAATATGCAATCAGACCAGACGTTCTTCCAGACGTCCTTCCTTCCAGACAAAGCCACAGCAGTGGTGGTGGGCAAGGCCAAGGCACTTGCACAGATTTTGTGCATTGGGCCTCTGGTAAGGTATAATGGAGCTGAAAAGTTCCTTTCACCTAAGGATGACATAACTGTCATAATGTCATAGTGCAATTCATTACTCACATGTTTGTGGTGAAGTTGATATAAACCTATTGGGCTGCCAGTTGTATGAAAGCATAGCACATACAATTATGTGCAGTATATTATACCTGATAATGATTATAAACAACTATGTTACAGGTTTATGTATTTATTATACTATACTTTTTGTTGTTATTTTAGAGTGTACAATTTCTACTTAATTAAAAAAAGTTTGCTGTAAAACAGTGTATCATGTTATGTCATCATAACAATCTCATCTCAATTGTATTATTTGTTCTTGTGCTTGATTTAATCTCATGTTGTTTTGTACAGTAACATGCTGTACAGGCTGATAACCTAGGAGCAGCAATAGGTTTTAACTTATAGC